CCTGGCACCCCTAACCACGCATAACATCAGACCCAACCGCATCAACCCTGGCAGAACGACTATACAAAATGTCTCAAACGATGCAGTCACGCGCTGGAGTGATTATGGCGCAAAACCAGATCTCTTCGTGCGTTCTCCCTCTACAAATCAGCCTTCCTCACCTACACCACCACCCTCCACCGCCAAGCAAGCCTATTTCATAACCCTCATCAACACCCTCTCCACCTGTCCTCGCTGGCTCTTCTCCACTTTCAAATCCCTGCTCTCTCCCCCCCCACCTCCACTCAGTACCTCACTCACCGCCCACGAGATTGCCAATCATTTCCAAAACAAGATTGACGCAATCCGTAAGGACATTGTCAACTCACAATCTACCTCTCCACCTAGCCCCCCTCCCTCCATCACCCCTTCAACTCTCCTCTGACCTCGTAACTGCACTGCCCCCTACCATACCTAACGCTCCGCACACTATCACCTCCCCAACCCTCCACTCCTTCAGCCCTGCTACCACTGAGGAGGTCACTAAGGTCTTCACTGAAGCCCGCCTCACCACTTGCCCCCTGGACCCTATCCCCTCACAACTCCTCCGGTCACCCCCCTCCTCCGTCATTCGCTCCCTCACCCACATCTTCAATCTCTCCCTCTCTACTGGCACATTCCCCTCCCCCCTAAAGCACACACACATCACCCCCATACTCAAAAAACCCTCCCTTGACCCCACTGACCTAAACAACCTTAGACCCATCTCCCTATTACCACTCACTTCCAAGCTCCTTGAGTGCTTAGCCTACAATCACCTAAGCGCCCACCTCACTGATAACAACCTCCTTGATCCACTACAGTCTGGCTTCCGTCCCCTACACTCCACCAAAACCGCCCTACTTAAAATCACTAATGACCTGCTAACCGCCAAAGCTAATGGCCACTACTCCGTCCTCCTGCTCCTCGACCTCTCCGCGGCCTTCGACACAGTCGACCACCCCCTCCTCCTTGCCAAACTGCACTCCTTTGGCATCTCTCCTGGTTCTCCTCCTCCCTATCCCAACACTCCTTCAGCGTCACCTATAACGCTGCCACCTCCCCCCCTCTCCCCCCTCTCTGTTGGAGTCCCCCAAGGCTCTGTCCTTGGACCCCACCTCTTCTCCATCTACACCTCCTCCCTTGGAAAACTGATACACTCCCACGGCTTCAACTATCACCTCTATGCCGACAACACACAAATTTACCTCTCCACCCCTCACCTCACCCCCTCACTCTCCGCCCGCATCGCCCATCTCCTGAACGACATATCAGACTGGATGTCGCTCCATTTCCTCAAGTTAAACCTGTCCAAAATTGAGCTCCTGGTCTTCCCCCCAGCCCGCGCCCCCCCCCAATCCTCTTCATCACGACTAGCAACGCCACCATCAATCCCACCCCACACGCCAAAGTCCTGGTTGTCACCCTGGACTCAAACCTTTCCTTCCAACCTCATGTCCAATCACAAAGTCATGCAGGCTCCACCTCCGCAACATCTCCAAGATATGTACATTCCTCACCCCAGACACTACTAAACAACTCGTACACTCCCTCATCATCTCACGCCTGGACTACTGCAACTCCCTTCTCACTGGCCTACCCACACAAACACTATCCCCACTCCAGTCTATCCTGAACTCAGAGGCTAGACTCATCCACCTCACCAACCACTCCACATCTGCCACCCCCCTCTGCCAATCCCTTCACTGGCTCCCATTGCCCAGCGCATCAAATTCAAATTACTAACTCTGACCTACAAAGCCATTCACAACGCCGCCCCAAACTACCTAACTGATCTGATACCCAAATACCACCCTACCCGTGCCCTTCGCTCCTCACAGGACCTCCTACTCTCTAGCTCCCTGGTCTCTTCCTCCCACGCCCGACTGCAGGACTTCTCCAGGACTTCCCCCATCCTCTGGAACTCCCTACCCCGATCCATCAGACTGTCACCTACCCTCCTCACCTTCAGGCGCACCCTGAAAACCCATCTCTTCAGGGAAGCCTACCCCACCCTCACCTAAAAACCGATCTCCTCCACTCCTCCCACCACTCCATCCCTCACAGCCACCTCCTCCTGTACCACTATCCCCTCCCTCCTAGATTGTAAGCTCGAAAGAGCAGGGCCCTCGAACCCCTCATGTATTGTATTGTTACTGTATTGTCTCATGTTCTGTCCCCCTCGCTATTGTACAGCACTGAGCAAACCCTTTGGCGCTATATAAATACTGTATAATAATAATAATAATAATAATGGCATGCAATGCCAAGCTGCGGTTTCTAAAGCGAGCAAAATCCTCTCTTGTATTAAAAGAGGTTTAGACTCCAGAGAGAGAGATATAATTGTACCCCTGTACAAATCATTGGTAAGAGCTCATCTGGAATATGCAGTTCAGTCTTGGGCACCAATTCACAAAAAGAACATTGACGAACTGGAATAAATGCAGAGACGGGAAACCAAACTGATGAGAGGCATGAAGGAACTCAACTATGAGGAAAGATTAGAGGAACTGAATTTATTCTCTCTTGAGAAGAGGAGATTAAAGGGGGATATGATCAACATGTATAAATACGTCAGTGGTTCATATAGTGAACTCCGTGCAGCATTATTCACCCTGAGGTCATCACGGAGAACAAGGGGGCACTCTTCACTCCTGGAAAAGAGATTTAATCTCCAAATACAGAAAGGTTTCTTCACAGTAAGAACTGTGAAAATGTGGAAAAGACTTCAAGAGTTGGTTCTGGAAAGCTCAGTGTATTGTTTTAAAAAAGGCTATGGATTCTTTCCTAGATACACATAATAGAACTGGATACTAACATTTATAGGTAAAGTTGATCCAGGGAATATCCAATTGCCTTCCGGGGATCAGGAAATAATTTTTTCCCCTGCAGGAGCAAATTAGATCATTCTTTGCTGGGTGTTTTTGCCTTTCTTTTGATCAAGTGTGGGTATAGGATTATAACTTTTTTTGGTTGAACTGGATGGACTTTTGTCTTTTTTCAGCCAGACTAACTATGTAACTATGAAATTGCACCACACCAAAAGTAATACATGCACTACTTTTGAAAACACATTTCAACTGGATCAAATGGTACTTTTGTAGCATGCAATCCTGTGTGGGCAAACACACTTCGTTTGTGATCTGTATTTGGGGTGTCATTGACATTGCAAGTTCATCTTTGGCAGTAAGGCTACGATCAACAATAGCAACTTTGAAGGTTGATCTCCAAGTCCTATAGTCCTCTGGACAGCCATTGAACCTTGAGAGTGTAATGTTAATGAGCTTGCAGCAAATCATATATTTGTAGAAGTCAGACAGGCTCAGTGCTCTCTCACTCTTTGGTGCCAAAGTCACTTGTGGTACCCCTTGGGCATGAAAGTTCTCTGGGAGGTTCACTAGGATAAATTGATGTTGCAAGAGCATTTAGCTGTGGTTTAGTCACTAAGGCTTCTGCTGACTGTTGCTTGAACTGTGGCTTGTCACTGGGAGTCACATTGTCATTGATAGGGAGGTGATATGGTTTGCTGTGTGGATGCACTTTTGTTGTGGACTTAAAGAGGGACTCAGGCTTTTGCAAGTTATAGGTCTTTTGAGAGTCTGAACAGTATTGTTAGCACATATTCACTGGTGCGTTCAATTGGATCTTTCAGTTCTGCTGGAATAGAACAGTCTGAATTAGTAATTTCTCCCATTGCTTGTTCAAGGACCTTCAGCCTTGCCAGGGTAGCTGCTTCCTCCCTTTCCATATGCAGAATCTTTATTTGGGATTCCACCTTTGCTTGGTGAGCTTTGCTCTGAGCTTTTATTTCTCCTTGGCGAGTTGTCATCTCCACTTGGCAAAACATGGGACTGCCAAAACATGTAATTTGCCCACATTCAAGGACACATTACCATGTGGCCTAGAGACAAGTGGCCTTATTCATCCCAAAGAAGACAGTGAAGCAGGAAGAGGAAATGCATCACTAACTAGTGGGAGGGGACAAGATGTAAAACAGAAAAATAAGGTGACATAACTCAAATATCCACAAGATAGCAGTATATTAACATTAACCATAACTATGCATTGCATTATATTGTTACACAATAAGTGTAATAGCACAAGTATTGTTGCACATATACAGTATATAATTTAAAACAATCTGTTTTTCTGATAATGGAGTGTGAAAATGAAGTGTTAACCTGGCCACATTAGTGTCTTTCTTTTACCTTTATGTTTAGTCCTAGTATTTAATCACAGCAGTGATAAAGTGTTAGCCTGGCCTCATTAGTGTCTTTTTTACCTTTATACCTAGTCCTAGTATTTATTTACAGCAGTGATGTAAAAGGACACAGACACTAGCAACAATTGCATGAAAGAGTGCATTAATCTAGTAAAATTAGCTTCATTGTAATTAAACAATATTCTTATTTCTTCTTATTTATTTTGTCAAATTTCATTTCATACTATGTTTTTCGAAAGATTAAAAAATACATCCAGCAAAATTAAAGGCTAAGTTCACCTTTAAAAAGAATAATACATGCATATGATTTTGCAGATAAAATATGTGCATTTATTATTTTTTTACACTGCAGCTTGCAAACCATTGCACAATCAGTTGATCGCAGATGCAATGTTAGGCTCTTGCAGACACTCAGTACAGATGTCTGCCCATACCTCTGTAATGGCTAATTATTACCAAGGTGCAGGAAGATTCCTGCCTTGGTGGAAGATGTGACTTGTAGTTCATTCACAGATCTTGTGAACAAAAAATGTGGCTGCATGGGCAGAGCCCCCACAGCCACACTGTTTTTAAAATAAGACCGCGGGTACAAGGAGAAGTTCCTCTTCCCGTTGTCAAAAGGGGGCTCTGGGGAGTTTGGCTGCTGCATAGTAACAGGTTACACCTTAAATATGGGTGTAACATGTTACAAAAGGTGAACTTATCCTTTAAAAATAAACATGAGAAAAACATAAAAATAATCTACTTGTCTAACTTGCAGATTTCCTTCTCCTACCTTACCGCAAGTCAGTCAGTGGGGAGAAATGGTTGGCACAGCATTCTCCCTAGCTATTGTTGGCTACGTGATTAACCTTGCCATGGGCAGGACCTTAGGAGCAAGACATGGTTACGATGTTGACCCAAACCAGGTTAGATTTTTGCAGTACCAATCTTTATCAGTCTGTTCAAGACTCTATGACACATCATGTATTAGTGGTGTCAGATTTCACCTGCCACATCCTGATTTCACTATTCAGCAATTCACATATAATAGCTTTTTCTAAGAATGTTTTATTCTTGTAATAAACACATAAAATAAAACAATATAACACTGAGCAAGGTTTTGTAAGAGTCTTGCAAGGCAAGGGAAATGGGTCACTTAAACCTAGGGCTGCTGTTAGAACCACGGGGGCCCCATACAGCTAACCTGACAGGGCTCCCCCTCAAAAAAAACACATTTTATTATGCTTTGGTTATGAATGAACACAGTGAGTGATCAAAAGTGTTCATTTAGAAAAGGAAGGGGATGGTAAATGTGATGCATTTACCGGACCTTTCCCACACTCTCCATCCTGAAGGATCCTATTGTGTGCTTGCAGCTGCCAGTGGGAACGAGGGAAGACGGCAGTACTGCAGCGGGGGGGGGGGGGGGGGGGGGGGGGGGGGGGGTGGGCAGCTCTCCTGGCCCAAGCCACATACAGGAGGACTGGTGGTACTCCCTTTTCCACTGACTGCCCTGCTAACCCCCCCCCCCCCCAAGGCACTCCACACCCAACATCATATACTCACCTTTTCATACTGCTGCCTTGCAGCTCAGTTTTCCCAACTTCTGCCTAAGGGAGTGAAGCAAAGTAACCAGCACTCCACTCCATTCTCTCATGTGGCAGCTATAGTTGCCTTAGGATTAGCACTGTGTTGTCACATGGGGCCTGGAAAGGAATCCATAGCTATGTTTGAGTGGAGGTTGAAAGAGCAATACAGGAATGACAAAGGTGAGCTTGATTGCCCTCAAATTTCTCCATTATAAGTGAGAGTTGGCAATCCAACTGTAGAATTTGGGTAATAATTAATTAATAACCCCCCCCCCCCTCAAAAGTTAGTAGACTAAGCACATAGTTGTGCCAGGTAGTAGGTGCCAGATAGTAGCACTGGCTGCTGAAATATTCTCTTTATAGCCCTGTTGAAGCTTTATGAAAAGTCTGTGCTTCTGGGATAATGGTCTTATGGTATCTTTCTGGGTCTATATGGGCTCTGGGTTGCATTTACAATTTTTTGGAAAAAGATATTTGCCTCGCATTCTTAAATATACAACTTTGTAATTGGCAAATTAATATGAACGTATTCTGAAGTCTTTTAAAACTTCATATATGTAATCTCCATGTACTCCACATCAGCACAGTTGACATGTCATTAGATATTTCACATACAGTATGCTCAACACTGGTGATATGAAGGCATGTCTTCAAATACTTTTGAAAGTTAACTCACAGATGGTGCAAAGCAGGGGGAAATGCATGAATGATATTTTCTTTCATTCATTTGTTTCAGCATTTCTCTGGATGAGAAATTAAAATAGAAACTGTGTGGAGTTTATGGCTTACTTGTGTACTTGTGTAAAGCATAATATACTAATAGAACAATTACAATATCTTACCATGCTACCATTTGTGAATCCTTTACATATACTACATTAGTACATCACTAATTTTAACAGAACTGATTTTAGAAGCGAAACAAGAAAAAGATTGGATGAGTTAAACTAATTCCATTGCACTTTATGTGACCATAAAATATATGGGTTGAGTTACAAAAACTGGAGAGTGCAAAATCTGGTGCAGCTGTACATGGTAGCCAATCAACTTCTAACTTCAGCTTGTTCAATTAAAGTGGTTGTTAAGGCAGAAGGTTTTTTTTTTTTACCTTACTGCATTCTATACAGTAAGGTAAAAAACCTTCTGTGTGCATCTCCCCCCACTGCCCCCTAAATACATACCCGAGCCCAATCTCTATCCAGCAATGTGCATGAGAGCCTAGGCTCTTTTGGCTCTCTTGCTCCTCATTGGCTCAGATACAGCAGCAGGAGCCATTGGATCCCTCTGATGCCAATCAGAGCCAGTGACGAGGAGCAAGGGGTGGGGCCGAACTTATGGATAAACAGAGCAGGGATCAAGAGCTAGCATGCATCAGTGCCCCCATAGCAATCGGCTTGCTCTGGGGGGGACTCGGCGGTGTGGGGTGGAGCCAGGTTTTCCAGCTGGAGGTGCGAGGAGGATCAGGACTGCTCTGTGCAAAAGCATTGCACAGAGCAGTCCAGTATAACATGTTTGTTATGGTTATAAAATAAAAATTAAGCTTTACAATCACTTTAGACTTTGACAAAAAAAAACATGGAAGATGATTGGTTTCTATGCAGAGCTGCACCAGATTTTGCACTCTCCAGTTTTAGTAACTCTCAACTCCATAGTATTTACAATTCACAAATAGCTTTGACACTAGTCATTAGTGTTCCTATTGTACTTATAAAAATATACTGAACACAAGCAATACTTTTCTTTTAGGAAATGTTGGCCCTCGGCTGTAGTAACTTCTTTGGTTCATTTTTCTTTATCCATGTGATTTGCTGCGCTCTTTCTGTTACTTTGGCAGTGGATGGGGCTGGAGGAAAGTCACAGGTAAGTATTCACGTTTCAGAGATGTGAGATGTGAAATGTCAGAGATTTTATTGAAAGAAATTATCTGATACAAGATAAAAAGCATACACCCCAAACAATCCAACTACCAACCAATATAGTAATCCATTGAATCCAGTCAGTTTTCAAGCTACTTTAGTCTAATCTGTTAAGAAATGAATTAATGTTGATTGTGCACATAGTCACCATTACACTGTCTTATAGAATAAGAAAGTTCAGAACACAAGCATCTTATTCCTACAAAATGGGTTATAGGCCTGTACCTTCACGTAATTGTTCACTGACAAGCTTTTGCAGACGCCCCCTGGGGTGCCTCGCAGGCAAGACAGAATGCTCAGAGGAGAGAAGGCATAGGTTAGCCTCAACTAAGATCAGGGAATAACTATGGCATCTGAGGCCAGAGCTAGAGGATTCCTAGTTCTGAATACAATGGGGGGGGGGGTTATATCAGACCGGACACATCTAGATGAAGAGGCTATTCCCCTTGGTCCAAGCTGTGGTGGCTGAGATAATCCACCTGCCAGTTGTCAACTTCTAGGATGTAGACCACAGAATCGCTAGACAGCATGTTTTTGTCCATGAGAGAAACTGGTTTGTTTTCCACTGGACAATACATTTCTATCCGCAAGAGGATCTGGTTTGTTTTCTTCAAGACAGCAAGCCTCCTTGATGGTTCATATATGCCACTGTTTTGGCATTGTCTGATTGTACCCAAATTGGGTGTACCTTTAGAAGGGGTGTGAAGTGCTGCAGGGATACCCTGACAGCTATGAGCTCCAAGATGTTGATAAGGAGCTTGGCTTCTTTTCTTGACCAAGTTCTCGGAACTGTCCAGAATTACAGAAGACTCACATCTGTTGTAAGAGTCTTCCAATTTTAAAGAAAGAAGGATTTGCCCACTGTTAGAGATGAAGTGCTGATAAACTAAAACAAGGAATTTCTTGTTTGGAGGGAAATTAGCATAGGTAGCTTCAGGGGAAAAGCCTACTTTTTCCATGCTGACAGGATGTTTTACTGAGAGTTCCTAATCAGAATTGAGTGAAAGGCGGTGCCTTAAAGGAGACCACCAATTGACCAAGAACTCACCCAACATTTCAAAAAAGTTTTTTAGGGACACCTGTTTTCCCATATGTCCAGAAAGCCACTGCAGATGGAACATGTACTTTAACTAGGGAAAGGGCATTCATTTAATATGGAAATGGTTTTACAGGAAGCATATCATTACTTATTTATTTGTTACAGATACAGGTGAAACTCAAAAAATTAGAATATTGTGCAAAAGTTCATTTATTTCAGTAATGCAACTTAAAAGGTGAAACTAATATATGAGATAGACTCATTACATGCAAAGTAAGATAGTTCAAGCCGTGATTTGTCATAATTGTGATGATTATGGCTTACAGCTCATGAAAACCCCAAATCCGCAATCTCAGAAAATGAGAATATTGTGAAAAGGTGCAATATTCTAGGCTCAAAGTGTCCCACTCTAATCAGCTAATTAAGCCATAACACCTGCAAAGGGTTCCTGAGCCTTTAAATAGTCTCTCAGCCTGGTTCAGTAGGAATCACAATCTTGGGAAAGACTGCTGACCTGACAGTTGTGCAGAAAACCATCATTGACACCCTCCATAAGGAGGGAAAGCCTCAAAAGGTAATTGCAAAAGAAGTTGGATGTTCCCAAAGTGCTGTATCAAAGCACATTAATAGAAAGTTATGTGGAAGGGAAAAGTGTGGAAGAAAAAGGTGCACAAGCAGCAGGGATGACCGCAGCCTGGAGAGGATTGTCAGGAAAAGGCCATTCAAAAGTGTTGGGAACTTTCACAAGTAGTGGACGGAGGCTGGAGTCAGTGCATCAAGAGCCACCACACTCAGATGGATCCTGGACATGGGCTTCAAATGTCGTATTCCTCTTGTCAAGCCGCTCCTGAACAACAAACAACGTCAGAAACGTCTTACCTGGGCTAAAGAAAAACAGACCTGGTCTGTTGCTCAGTGGTCCAAAGTCCTCTTTTCTGATGAGAGCAACGTTTTGGATCTCATTTGGAAATCAAGGACCCAGAGTATGGAGGAAGAATGGAGAGGCACACACTGCAAGATGCTTGAAGTCCAGTGTGAAGTTTCCACAGTCTGTGTTGATTTGGGGAGCCATGCCATCTGCTGGTGTTTGTCCACTGTGCTTCATTAAGTCCGGGGTCAACGCAGCCGTCTACCAGGAGATTTTGGAGCACTTCATGCTTCCTTCCGCAGACAAGCTTTATGGGGATGCTGACTTCATTTCCAGCAGGACTTGGCACCTGCCCACACTGCCAAAAGCACCAAAACCTGGTTCAATGACCGTGGGATTACTGTGCTTGATTGGCCAGCAAACTCGCCTGACCTGAACCCCATAGGGAATCTATGGGGCATTGCCAAGAGAAAGATGAGAGACATGAGACCAAACAATGCAGAAGAGCTGAAGGTCGCTATTGAAGCATCCTGGTCTTCCATAACACCTCAGCAGTGCCACAGGCTGATAGCTTCCATGAAACGCCGCATTGAGGCAGTAATTGCTACAAAAGGGGCCCAAACCAAGTACTGAGTACATATGCATGCTTATACTTTTCAGAGGTCCGATATTGTTCTAGGTACAATCCTTGTTTTATTGATTGCATGTAATATTCTAATTTTCTGAGATTGTGGATTTGGGGTTTTCATGATCTGTAAGCCATAATCATCACAATTATGACAAATCACGGCTTGAACTATATTGCTTTGCATGTAAGTAGTCTCATATATTAGTTTCACCTTTTAAGTGGCATTACTGAAATAAATGAACTTTTGCACGATATTCTAATTTTTCGAGTTTCACCTGTGTATACACTGGGGAAAATAATTATATGATCCCCTGCAAATTTGAAGAAATGAAGGGCCTAAAATGTTTATCATAGGTGTATTTTAAATGATAGAGACAGAATATCAATTAAAATCCAGAAAAAAAAACACACACAATACAAATGTTGAAAACTATCAAAACAAGCTTCCTAGTGTCAAATCCTGTAAATATTGAAAAGAAAAAGGACTGCTAAGTACGGTAAGGCATTGGATTCTTTGGGAACAATAAGAGATCACACAATAAAATACATATAGCCATTTATTAACATAGAAGAATCATATGTCCATAATAGGACCCATATTACAAAAGATACTCTTAATAAGAGAAGATAAGAACAAAGCACATCAAGTTGAGCACAAAGCCCCCCTCATGTATAGTGAAGGATAACCACTCAGCACATAGTGACAACATACGTATATTTCAAAATATGGTCAACGCATTTCTCCTGTGCATTTGGCATCTTCAGGACCATGGCTTGAATGAGGGAGGGAGAGTAGTGCTACTGCATAAATAAAATACAAAATAGATACAGTATACAAACATATAAATGTATATACATTGGACACAATTTACATACAAGAAATGAGTCTGAGCTTACGTGGAGATGGTAAGTCAGTGGCATAGATGTCTGGAGGGTGGACCATGGCTGGAGTCGAGCCATACCTGAGCAGAAAGGCCAACCTTAATATAAGGAATTCCTATAATAGGAAATATATAAAAATGTACCACCAGGAACAAATGTAAATAGAACCAAATGATTTAAATTGGCCAGTACTCACAGAAAATATATAGATTATTGGTTTCCAGTACAGACAGAACAAACTTATCTCCAAAAAAACATAAGAAGGAAAGCGAATGGCTAGGACACCAGTGGGCCTGCAACATTACCATATGTTAGTAAGATAAGATAACCAAGATAAATGTACTTGCCATATAAGGCAGGACACAAGTTACAACCCACCTGCATATTCTTTTATTTTCTATTCTATTCTGCTTTATTCTATTCTTTTCAAAATGCAAATTTTGGATGACCGCTATATTCTAATACACACAGTCTTTGAAGGAAATCAGCAATAGTAAGCAATATGTTTACATTTCAAATTTGTTTTCAAATTCATTTAAAATTTTATTCAAATTCAGATAATTTGTTATTTTGTTATTCTGGATTCGTTTGACTTAGTTACTATTGTAATTCAGAAATTCAGATACATCTGAATCTTTGAATAACGGTAATATTGTCCGAATTTCAATCCGAAACGAACTGTACATGTGTGTGCGCATATATATATACATATAACTATATACAGTGGGGATCGAAAGTTTGGGCACCCCAGCTAAAAATTTGTATTAATGTGCATAAATAAGCCAAGGAAAGATGGAAAAATCTCCAAAAGGCATCAAATTACAGATTAGACATTCTTATAATATGTCAACAAAAGTTAGATTTTATTTCCATCATTTACACTTTCAAAATAACAGAAAACAAAAAAATGGCGTCTGCAAAAGTTTGGGCACCTGCAGAATTTATAGCATGCACTGCCCCCTTTGAAAAGCTGAGACCTGCTAGTGTCATGGATTGTTCTCAATCATCGTCTGGGAAGACCAGGTGATGTCAATCTCAAAGGTTTTAAATGCCCAGACTCATCTGACCTTGCCCCAAAAATCAGCACCATGAGTTCTTCAAAGCAGTTGTCTAAAAACTGAAACTGAAAATAGTTGACGCTCACAAAGCTGGAGAAGGCTATAAGAAGATAGGAAAGTGTTTTCAGATGTCAATATCCTCTGTTCGGAATGTAATTAAGAAATGGCAGTCATCAGGAACAGTGGAAGTTAAAGCAAGATCTGGAAGACCAAGAAAAATATCAGACAGAACAGCTCGCAGGATTGTGAGAAAAACAATTCAAGACCCACGTTTGACTGCACGATCCCTCCAGAAAGATCTGGCAGACACTGGAGTTGTGGTACACTATTCCACTATAAAGAGATACTTGTACAAATATGGTCTTCATAGAAGAGTCATCAGAAGAAAACCTCTTCTACGTCCTCACCACAAAAATCATCGTTTGAACTTTGCAAATGAACATATAGACAAGCCTGATGCATTTTGGAA